GACAATGTCGGTCGAAAGTACAACTCTATGCGGTGGATCACTCGGCTCGTGTACCGATGAAGAGGACAGCCAACTGTATGAATTAATGTTCTCGACAACAATCTATTATCTGGCTCACAGCGCCCTTTACTTTGCATAGCTGCCTACTTTTTTTACAATAATAAGCATGTTTTCTTTTACTACCTTGGCGTCTGCTGTGTTTCTCACCAAAAATGTACGACAGTCTATCCACATCTGGATTGCATTGCATCCCCCACGGAATTCTTTAGTGATAGAAAGACAGAAATATACAGAAACAAAAAAATATCTTGTTCTGTCATTGTTCAGTGAGCTTTATATCGATTTTTGAATCATAACATGTTATAAATACTACAGTAGTCGCCGGTTATTAAGCCCACCTCGGGCCCAAACCAAATTGGGCTTAATAAGCGGCGGGCGCACTAACCGGAGAGTCTTAGTTCAGTAGTCGCCGGTTATTAAGCCCACCTCGGGCCCAGACCAAATTGGGCTTTAATAAGCGGCTGGGCCTATTAACCGTGGCTTAATAACCGGCGACTACTGTATTAACAGTCTTCCAAAGGATACTTTTCTATTAAGTTTTAAAAATATCTTCTTCTCAGGAAGTAAGGTACCAGCTGTCCGGTTGAAAAATGGGATTCTAATTTTAGGATCTAATTAGGATTCGATTCACCTTCGACTTTTTTGAATCCTTGAAGTTGCAAATTGCCTTTGTTTATTTCAATTATCGCGTGCTCGTTCGTGATATGTATATTAGCTTGTTATATCATTTTTATCGATTATTGTCCTTTTTTTGCTATATTAATTTTGTGTTCTTTCCTCCGCCACTGTAACGTCCCATCCGTATAAGCCCTTCTACCGCCGGCCTCGTACTACCGAAGGCTGAGCTTTTAGATTTCCGTTGTGCGCCCGATAATAGACTGTTACCCTTTTATCTTTTAGGCGGACAGAATGTCTGCAAAAAACACCAACTAAATTATTAAAAGATTAAACAAGAATATTAAACCATACAAAAAACCGAGCAGAAAGGAATCGTGCGGGGGAGGGGTTAGGGGCGACTAAAATGTCGGGGCTTAGCAGAACTGGGAGGGGGGGAGGGACGGACAGGAACCGCTATATGATACTCTTGGACGTTTCAAAGTTCAGGAGGCGTTTGAAAATGAACCAGGTGCAAGAGGCCGCGAAGAACACAAATACGGTGACCCAGTTAACATACATGGGCCATCCATTGGACACGGAAATGAATCGCGGATCGTAGAGCTGCAACAGAGCGAGAGAGAGAAACCCGAATGAGGTGTTACGGTGGGGGAGGGAGGGGGGGGGCAAGAACGACAAAAAACCAATTCG